ATATATATATATATATATATATATATATATATATATATCATTTCTTATTTTATCTGACCAGGATCTCATGCTGAAAGTATGCAACAACCTCGCCTTCTTTATTTGGACCCATGAACTAATACCTTTAGACATTTTACTGTTGGCACTTATTGACCGTGATGATGATCCCAATGCTTTGCGGATTGTGGTATGTTTTATTGATCTTGATGTCTTTCTTACTCTTTTGGGTATTTGACTTGTTTGTTTATCCCATGTCAGAGATGTTACTTGTGAAAGCAAATGTTACTTATGAAAGCAAAGGCCTCTTGTGGTTATGTTGATACTGGTTGGCCCAATTGACAGATGCATTCTAAAATCTTTAGTATTGTAACTAGATATCATTATTAGCGGTGGGTTGGACTAGTATGAATGGATGAAAAGATGAAAAATTTTTAGTCTTTCTTTCTTTCTTCCTTCTTATCGATTTGGTTACATTGATTCCATATATATTTACCTCAAAATTCTTGATATTGAGTATACTCATCTCGCGGCCTTGGCCTCCCCTCCTTGCAATTTCCCATTCTGTCTGATAGATAAATATACTTGATAGCAAAGAGCTTCAACAAAGAGTGAAAATTTATCTTATGAATCGTGGTCCACCCGAGCACTGGCTTTTCTCTGGAACTTTCAAGCGTGTTGAAGTGCAAGAGGCTCTTGGATTACACTTGTCGTATAAAGAAAGGTGATTGCTTGGACATTTTTACCTTTTCATATACGAAAGAAAAGCAATTATGTTTATTATTACCTCTTATGATTCTACAGGACGAGGAATGAATTTTATCCGATGTGTTTTAACCTTATTGTTGGTCAATTTCTTCCTGCCCTTATATTCTAAGGATGCAGCAATTTTACTTTAGTGTCGTTGTTGAAGGCTTTGCCTTTGAGCTTCATACGAGCTAGTGAAATATATGAAATTTCCCAGGTTGCTTGGCATTGGACCGGTTATGCTCTTGTTTTTGTACTTTGTACACTTAGGGCGTGCTTGTTTATGAAATATTTCATTCAAAGTGAGTTATTTTGGTTAACTAGAGTTAATTTTGAAAAAGGTAGTATGGTTAATTGTTAGTGGGATTTTAAGAATGTATTAAAATAATATTTAAAATAAAATGATTAAAATTGATTTGATGTAAAAGTAGGAGATAAATGATTGGAAATGATTAGAAATGATAGGTAGTTAAAATTATGTGAGTGGATGAATAGTGAATTAAAGTTGATGTGATGTGTAAGAATGATTGATTTATATTATTTAATTAAATGAATAATATTAAAGATAATGGGGTTGGGTTAAAGTTGAATTAGATTTTGAGTATGAATTGGATTGAAAATGAAATAATTTGTAAACAAGCATGCCCTTATTTTCTTTATTTCCATTCCGTCGCCTTTAATCAACCAGAAGAATCTTTACACCACATGTTGTATAAGATAGTTCCATAACATCATACATCGTATTGTTATTGGTTTATTGCACATTTTTGTTCGCCACCTTTCTAACACACACATACATATATAAAAAAAATTTCTAGCAGGTATCCAACATTTTTTGATGACATCACAGGGAGGTTGCTCCCAGTGATTCCCATGATCGTGTATAGGCTTATCGAAAACGATGCTATCGATGCTGCCGACAGAGTCCTACAAGTTTACTCAACTTTCCTTCATTACTATCCTTTGAATTTCACATTTGTGCGCGACATACTTGCCTATTTCTACGGCCATCTTCCTGGGAAACTCATTCTCCCAATTTTGCATGTCCTCGACCTTAAGAAGGTAATATTACCTCTCTCTCTCTCTCATTTCATCTCTCTCTCTCCCTCTCTCTCTTTTCATCTCTCTCTCTCTCTCTCTCTCTCTCTCTCTCTCTCCTGTACAAATATATTATTTCACCTTATTGTTTTTCTCCAGATCCCTTTCTCAGAGTCGTTCCCTCAGCACATCAACTTGGCCAATGCTCCCATCTGCCCTCCGCCGGACTACTTTGCGACCCTTCTGCTTAATCTGGTCCATCACGTGATCCCTCGCCTGAGCAGCAATTCTTCCAAAAACGGGCAGTTGGAGGAGGATAAAGCCCAGTGGGCCCCACCCCACAAGTCTCCCCAGTCAACCTCACAGCACCCCACCTCCACCTCCCCTCCTCCTCTTCCCGAAGCCGGCCAAAAGCCGTTCTACCAGGTTCAAGATCCCGGCACTCACACGCAGCTCATTCTAGAAACTTCCGTCATCGAAATCCTCTCTCTTCCCGTCACCCCTTCCCAAATCGTGTCCTCACTCGTCCAAATCGTGGTCCACATACAGCCCACTCTCGTCCAGTCCAATAACGGGCCTGCCTCGGGCTGTGTGCTCCCAACTTCTCCTTCTGGAGGGAGCACCGACTCGTTGGGCCCCACACGGCCCACTTCTGCTGGATCGGGCCTGACAACAACCAACTTTGTGTGGCGAAGTGGATACACGTGCCAGCAGCTGTCCTGCTTGTTGATCCAGGCTTGCGGCCTTCTTCTGGCCCAGTTGCCGCCGGATTTTCACGTACAGCTGTATATGGAGGCTGCTCGTGTGATAAAGGAGAGCTGGTGGCTTGCGGATGGAAAAAGGTCGGCTAGCGAACTCGAGTCTGCCGTTTGCTATGCGCTGTTGGACCCATCGTGGGCCGCGCAAGACAATACCTCGACTGCTGTTGGTAATATGCTACTCTGGGCTTGTTGTTTATGAAATAATTTGTTTAAAATGAGTTATTTTGGTTAACCATAGTTAATTTTGGAAAAGGTAGTATGGTTAGTTGTTGGTGAAATTTTAAGAATGTATCAGAATAATATTTAAAATAAAATGATTAAAATTGATTTGATGTAAAAGTAGGAGATAAATGATTGGAAATGATAGGTAGTTAAGTGATGTGTAAGAATGATTAGTTTGTATTATTTAATTATATGAATAATATTAAAAATAGTGAGATTGAGTTAAAGATGTAGATTGACTGTGAAATAAATGTGAGTAAATTATTTCATAAACAATCAAGCCCTAAGTTATTTGTTGCAAAAAGAAAAAAGAAAAAGGTGTAATCTTGTGGATGTCGTTGATGGTTGTCACCTGAAAAATAATATGTGGGTATAAACAGGCTATCCCCCTGTGAAAAAACATCATGTTAGACCCTTTTTTTCGTAGACACAATTGTGTGATGGCCCAAGAGTTGAGAATCGTGTAAGAAGAAAAGGAGAAGGGCAGGGGAGGGTAGTTAGAATTTTTTCAAGAAAGAAGAAAGGAATAAGAGCTCGTGATAGAAGTTTATCTGGATAACTGTCTGAAGCTATTTTCTTTTTAATGCTACTACAAATGACGAATAAAATGAATTATATCGATTCTGAGTGGTCTACCTGTTTAATGTTGTGTAGGTAATGTGGTTGCATTGCTACATGCTTTCTTCAGTAACCTTCCACTAGAGTGGATGGAAGGAGCACATGTTATAGTTAAGCACCTAAGGCCCGTGACATCAATAGCTGGATTGAGAATAGCTTTTCGTATTATGGGTCCGTTGCTCCCCCGAGTTGCCAATGCTCACACCCTCTTCAGTAAGGTATGGGAGAGTTTTTCTCATTTAATTCCTACTTCATAATTCTCTTTATTTTGTATAGAAAGTAATTTTTGTGGACTTGCATAGAAGCCAACTCGGTAAAATACGCTTCCTTCACTGATTTTCACATTAAATGTCATAAGGGTTCTGTAAAAAAGTTGCATATGTGTTTTATTTGATATATTCCTATCACATATTACTACTGTACATTTGAGCCGATTAAATTCAAAACTTCAATGGAAAAAAGTAAATTACATTTCAGTCTGCATTCTCTCCATTTTGTTCTCATGGTGACTGACAGATCAATAAATTGTTTCAGATAATCTTAGACATCACTTATCAAAATACTTTTATATAGAGTACAGAATTTTAATTTGCTAAGTGACAGTCTCGGTTCAAACTCAAAGTCGAACACTGACCATAATATTCACATTACCCGGCATAATATACTTCATCGTTTTTCAGATATTGTCACTTCTTCTAAGTGTCATGGCCGATGTCTTTGGGAGGAACGTGCAGCCACCTGCTCCTATTGAAGCATCAGAAATAGCCGATATTATAGACTTTCTGTAAGCTATACTTGGTGAAGTTCATAGTCTAATAACGTTAAACTCCACATTAACTATCGTGTGTAAATTGGGTATATACGGTTTCTCTTCAGGCATCACATTGTTCACTACGAAGGACAAGGAGGCCCTGTGCAAGCTAGCAGCAAACCGAGGCCCGAAGTCCTTGGTCTCATGGGCCGAGCAGCTGAAACTTTACGTCCAGACATACAGCATCTCCTTACTCACTTGAAAGCTGATGTCAACAGTTCAGTATATGCTGCTACTCATCCAAAATTTGCTCAGAACAATGCCAATTGATGTGAAGGATAGTTGTCTGATATTTATATGCTCAATTTCATGTAATTATAATATGACCTTTATTCTAAGAATCTCTATTTTGAGACTGAAGGTTATAATCATATTTTGAAATGTTCTAAGCGACATTAGGTGGTTGGTTGCTCGAGGCGTTCCGGGGCCTAGTTCTTAGAGTGCCTAAGCGGGGTCTATATGAAATATCAATCAATTTATTTATATTTGTTATAAACAAGTGGAATGAACCACTATGCATGAATAGTGACATTTCACTATTTGAATAAATGGGAATAGTAATAGATATGAATGTGGTGTAAATTATTGTATGTTATGTCGGGAAAGTTTGCCTATAAAAGGCACCCGAAATGCAATGGAAAAATGTACAGAAAGAAGAAGAAAATTGAGTATAAGTGATATCCAATTTCTATATTGTGTTCTTTATCTTTCCGTTTTTATAACACGTTATCAGTACGAACGCTCTACCCGGTCCGAAAGGTAGGAATATACTAATATGTATATACATTACATAAAATCAATATATTTTACTAATCTACAAATTACCATTATTTTTGACAAGTACGGCTCTGCCATAATCAAGAATATGTGGTATGAATATACTAAATACAACATTATACTAATTTACATATTACCATTATTATTGGCTAGTACGGCTCTGCCATAGTCAATAATATGTGGTAAGATGATATTATTAAATTTGCTTATAATTACCACTAATTATGATATATAACTTCAAGTTATAATAAATAATATTATTACTTATACTTAACGCCCACAAAATGGTTCACCCAGTAATGTGGTGTGAAATTTATAACTGCTTATATTTGTACCCACCGAAAGATTTATCGAGTAGTGTGGAGTGACATTTTTATTTGTTTTGACACTTATATTCATCAAATTGTTCACATAGTGGCTCGATGAATTTTTAAGATAATATACATGATTAATTAGTATTTTATAATCATGAATGATTAACTAACAAATATTATATCATTAATTTGTTCCCAACGGCTACATAACGGCTATATTGCAACGGCTACTTATCAACTTATATATATATATATCACACTACACTTCATATATTAACACTCATTTCAAATACTAAAATATATTTCCCTCAAACGAAAAAAAATGTTTCATCTACTATTTATAATTACCATTATATTGTTTATTTTTTACACTTTGGGAATTTTCACGATGATGTATCATACCACTGAATTTATACTTTATGTATTAGGTTTTTGTATGATGTGTCTCTTATTTGTTTTTCTGTACGTTATGGAGAATTAATGATTGTATAATGTAATTTTCTCTAATATAAGCATTGATGTTTTATTTTATAGTTATCATGGCAAATCTGGTCAAACTTGAATTCGAGGCTCTTGACATTTCGGGAAAAAATTATATTTCATGGACACTGGATGCCGAAATTCATTTGGCCGCGAGGGGATTGGGAGAAACAATAATCTCCCCAAATAATTCATCAATACAAGATAAAGCTAAAGCAATGATATTTCTGCGGCACCATTTAAATGAGGGATTGAAAAATGAATACTTAACTGTGAAAGATCCTGCGGATCTTTGGAAAGCTTTGAAAGAAAGATACGATCATCAGAAAACAGTAATTCTCCCCCGGGCTCGTTATGAATGGATGCACTTACGCTTCCAAGATTTTAAAACTGTAAACGAGTTCAATTCAGCCATGTTCCGCATTTGCTCGGTATTGAAATTATGCGGGGAAAACGTAACTGATTACGATATGCTTGAAAAAATGTTGTCCACATTCCACGCATCAAACTTACTTTTGCAGCAACAATACAGAGCAAAAGGCTTTGTGAAATATTCTGAGGTGATTTCTTGCTTGTTGCTAGTCGAACAAAATAACGAGCTGTTGATGAAAAATCATGAATCTAGACCCACGGGGTCTACTGCGGTCCCTGAAATAAATGCTGTAATATCTAAACAGGGAACCGGAAATGAAAACAGTCAAACAAATGTGCGTGGATATACCTCGGGACGTGGACGTGGCCGTGGACGTGGACGTGGCCGTGGATATGGTCCAGATAGAAATTATGGACGAGGCCGAAACTTTTCCCCAGGATACAAATCTGGCCGAGGTAATTATCATGGACATGGAAAAAACGATTTTCATAAACATTCTGAAAATAATAAAGGGGATAACGATGAAAAGGCATGCTATCGATGTGGTAGAAATAACCATTGGGCTCGAAATTGTCGAGCCCCAAGGCACGTGGTTGAAAAATACCAAGATTCCTAGAAATCAAAAGATAAGAATATAGAAACTAATTTTATGGTTGGGGAATCCTCTGAAAATGATGCAACGCGTGTGGATGATGACTATGGCATCGATGACATAATGAAACTGGATTTTGCCGATGCGGCATTTGAAGACAGAGCTGGAAATGACCTAGAGAATAACTGATGATCATGTTTTTATTTTGCTTTTTGAGTTGTAATGTATTTGTGTATGAGCTACTTGTATCTGTACTTTGAATTTGATCAATAATAAATGTTGTTTTCTTTTAGATCATGGATCGATCTCGAATTCAAGATGGAGATATATGTATTGCAGATTGTGCTACTACTCATACTATCCTCAAGGACAGAAAATATTTCGTGAACTTGAAATTAAATGAAGCAAAAGTAAACACAATATCCGGAAGTGCAAAGATAATTGAAGGTTTTGGAAAAGCCATATTTTTTATGATGGGCGGTACAAAATTTATATTAAGTGATGCACTATTCTCCCCAAAATCAACAAGAAATTTGTTGAGTTTTAAAGATATCCGAACGAACGGATACCACATTGAAACGATGAATAAAGGGAGAGTTGAATATCTTTGCATTACCTCAGATAATGCGGGAAATAAATGTGTTTTGGAGAAGTTACCCGCTTTATCCTCGGGTTTGTATTATACCCGGATTAATATAATTGAGGCATATGCTGCAACAAATTCAAAGTCGAATGAAATATTTAAACTTTGGCATGATCGACTTGGTCACCCTGGCTCGATAATGATGCGACGAATTATTGAAAATTCTAGTGGCCATCCACTAAAAAATGAGAGGATATTGCAAACACATGAGTTGACATGGGCCTCTTGTTCTCAAGGGAAATTGATAATGAGACCATCACATACTAAAGTCGGACATGAATCACCATTATTTTTAGAAAGGATTCATGGTGATATATGTGGACCTATTCATCCACCTTGTGGTCCATTCAGATATTTTATGGTGTTGATTGATGCCTCTAGTAGATGGTCTTACGTAAGTTTGTTATCCACTAGAAATATGGCATTTGCTAAATTACTTGCCCAACTTATTAAATTAAGGGCTCAATTCCCAGATTATATTATCAAGAGAGTCAGACTGGATAATGCTGGAGAGTTTACATCTCAAGCATTTAATGATTATTGTATGGCTGTGGGAATTGATGTTGAACATCCTGTGGTACATGTTCACACTCAAAATGGTCTAGCAGAATCACTTATTAAACGACTACAGCTTATAGCTAGACCATTGATAATGAGAACAAAACTCCCCACTTCAGTATGGGGACATGCTATTCTGCATGCAGATGATCTAATTCGAATAAGACCAAGTGCATACCATACATTCTCGCCATTACAGTTGGCATATGGTCGAGTACCAAATATTGCACATATAAGAGTTTTTGGTTGTGCAGTATGTGTACCAATTGCTCCGCCACAACGTACAAAAATGGGGCCTCAAAGAAGGTTGGGAATATATGTTGGATATGAATCTCCATCAATAATCAAATACCTTGAGCCAAAAACAGGTGATGTTTTTACAGCTCGTTTTGATGATTGTCATTTTAATGAAGAATTGTTTCCCCCTTTAGGTGGGAATGAAAAGTCAATTGAGAGAAATATTGAATGAAGAACATCCGCATTATCATATCTTGATCCTCCCACCAAACAAAGAGAGCAAGAAATTCAAAAGATCATACATTTGCAGAATATTGCAAATCAATTGCCAGATGCATTTACTGATTTAAAAAGCGTGACCAAATCACATGTGGTAGCCGTAAATGCCCCTGCTCGAATTGAGATTCCAAAAGAAATGGCAAATGACGATAAGCCAAATGAGTCAAAGACACGCTTGAAACGAGGAAGACCAGTTGGGTCTAAAGATAAGAATCCTCGAAAGAAAAGAGAAATTCTTGACTCCAATTTGAAAAGGAATCAAGATGATGGAAAAATTTCGGGACAAAATGAAAATATTGAAATTTCCATCAATTACGTGAACAATGGGAATCTTTGGAAGCGTGATGAGATCATGAATAATGATGATGCATTCGCATATATGGTATCAAAAGAAATTGATAATGAAGTTGAGGATCCTGAACCAAAATCTGTAGCTGAATGTCAGAAAAGACGTGACTGGGATAAATGGAAAGACGTCATTCAAGCCGAGTTAGATTCACTAAATAAACGAAAAGTTTTTGGGCCTATTTCCATTATACCAAAAGGCATAAAACCCATTGGATACAAATGGGTTTTCACCAGAAAAAGAAATGAGAATAATGAGATCACGAGATATAAAGCTCGCCTTGTTGCACAGGGATTCTCCCAAAGGCCTGGGATCGATTATGATGAAATATATTCCCCTGTCATGGATGCAATTACTTTCAGATACTTGATGAGTTTAGCTACCCATGAAAATCTTGAGATGCGTCTCATGGATGTTGTGACTGCTTACTTGTATGGATCATTAGACACCGACATATACATGAAAGTCCCAGAAGGAATCAGAATGCCCGAAGCACTGAACTCAAAACCTAAGGAGTTATGTGCGTTAAAGTTGCAAAGATCATTGTATGGCTTAAAACAATCCGGGCGTATGTGGTATAATTGTTTGAGTGAACAATTACTAAAAAGGGGATACTTGAATGATCAAATATGTCCGTGTGTTTTCATAAAGAAATCACATGATGGAGTTGT